AACAGTTGATAAGTTTGAATATAATCATTGTTTATTTAAAGGTCAATGTCATCGCACATGACCATAAATGCTCCGATTTCCTATTGAGTATGTCTTCAAGCGGTTATACCTAACATGCCCATAGGTACCTAGATTCCCTCTTCAACATATACATCGCCTTGCAGTTAATTGTGCCAGTTTTTTGCTGGTTAACAAGATATCTTATACATCAAGCGTGCTTCTCATGCTTGGCTGTGCCGATCTTACCTCCCAATTTTTGTATTCTTAGCAGTGATGCGGTCATGTTGCTCCCAAAACCCCCAGATTGTCCTATCTCTCTAAGGGCATTAACCATGTCGATGCAATTTATAGGCCGCCCATTTGCAGCTAAACAAGAACCGGCCAATCTATCAGCTCTTTCATTGCCAAAAAAACTTGCATGACCTGGCAAAAAGATGAAGATAACTGCATGTGCAGGGGAGTTTCGCAATGACTCAATCAACTGTCTGCGTACAGAGCCTGCCAGATCAAACAACGTCCCACAATTAAGTAATAAGACTGATTTGATTGCGGCCAAGACAAAAGTGCCATCTATGAAGCAGAGTATGGAATCCAAAGAAGCAACCTTCATCTATGATCTGGCAACTTTGCTTCGCCGCCTGATAAGCAGACTACAAACAAGTCGCCAATTTTATTGTCCTAGTTAGATGTGCATTGTTATGAAATCAGCACTGTTCTTAGAACAGTGGGTCTTGCTAGTTTAACTCACCATCGCCTGTGATTCTCATGCCTCACTACAGCAGAACATTGTCTGGAAAACAGAAAAGTGCCAAAAACAATTCATCAATATACTTGCCAACACTTCTTTGCCACTTGAAGCTGTAACATTAACATTGCCTCATCATCATTAAGTGCCTTGCCGTCTGGTTTAGAGCATTATGCTTCTCCACAATCTGCGATCCACAACTAGGTGTATCAGTTCCTGTGTTGACACCCCTTCATGTCATGACAAAAGGCTGTCACGAATGTTCTCACGCTGTCTTCCTCTGTCTCTCTTTCCAATGGTCACATGTTCCATTTTCCCTCTTAACATGACTAAAATTTATTTCTGATGTTTGTGATAAGTTGTCTTCGAGCACCTACCTCTTTCAAAACATCTGGGTTACTCCTCTTAGCTGTCCAATGAATTCTAAGGATTCTTCCGTAAAACTACATCTCCAAGACCTCAAGATATCGTTCGGTTTGTTTATTAATTGTCTAAGATTCACAGCCGTATGTTAAAACCGGCTCTACAAAGCTTGCGAGAATTCTTTTCCTAACCTCAAATGATATGGATTTCTTGCACAAAATGTTCATATTATAAAAGGCAGTTTTGGTCTGTCCAATTCTGTTCTATATCTCTGTAATACATCTTCCATCGAATGTTATCCATGTACCCAGATACCTAAATTTCTGCACTTGTCCTAAAATAATGCCTTTGACTCCTATTATACATTTAGGCACTATTCTTGGAAATCACCATTACCTCTGTCTTCCCGTTATTCAAACAAAGACCTATTTTTTCACTTTCTGCCACCACTATAGCTATTAATTCCTGTAGTTATTTCTGACTTGTCGCTATCAAAATGGTGTCATCAGCATAACACAGGTTATTCATGTTATGACCATCAACTACTATTCCTGGCATATCCATGATGGATCTTATTATATTTTTTTTACTGTATAATGAAAAAAAAATCAAGCGATAGTACACGTCCTTGTCGTACTACCTTCTTTATGCTCTGAAATGTTCCCAATTGGTTTCCAATTCCTATAGCTGCTCTTTGCTGCCAATACATGTTCTTTATTAATTCGTAAGTCTTTTCCATCAGTGTTTAACTTTTCTAATAGTTTAATTATTTCCTTTTTTTCCCAGACAATCTAATACTTTGATTATTTCTTAATGTTTCACACAATCTAATATTTTTGTATAGTCAATGAAGCATATGTATAGATAGTTTTTTTCTTAGCTCTTTCCAAAAGTCCTCAAGAATTATTGGACATTGTTTGTACCTTTCCTTCTACAAATTCACACCGTTCTTCACTAATTTCTAGTTAAATGGTGTTTCTTATTCTTCTCATAATTATTCTCAGTAACATTTTCGTCACATGACTCATAATACTTATGGTGCGACAGTCTTCACATTTTGAAGTGCCTAGTTTCTTTGACAGAGCAATTAATATAGATTTCAACCCTATGCGCGTTATTTTTAATCTTCCCGTCTCACATTGCTTTTATGGCAAGCTTTTTTTTTCATCTTGATTAATTATCATTATAAGTTATTTTTAGATGATCTTTTTTTAGATATGTCATCATTGACACTCTTCACTGAAACACAAGGCATTCCTAAGTGATCTGCACTGTTGTTTTTCTTCATATATCAGTTTAAATTCTTTCATTCCATTGTACTTTTCCAGGTTCCTTAGGTTGTCCAGCTGTTTACTGGAAAGCTTTTTTTTTTTTTGCTAGTGTCACAAGAAATCCTGCAAGCATGACTTTTTAGACAAGACACTTTTTCTGAACCAGTAAACATCCCAGTCATCAGTCTCTCTGAAGAAACTCAGGGCAGAAACACTTATTTAGTTAATAAATTAAAAAACTAAACAAAAACCAGAACAAAGCTGTTGCTTTTTTTTTTTTAAAACAATCTTTAATTAATGCCAGAAAAATTTAAAATGCAGTTTATTAATAACACATGATTTCCATTACAACAGATACTATCATTATAAAAGTAAGTAAACTAAAATGCATATTTTCGAATTATATTTTTTACCATAAAATTCAATGCTATTTACAAAATTACACGAAACCAGGTGTATTCATTTCTAGGAATATTAATTCTTTCTCACAACAGCTGCCCAGTATGGTCTCTGTAGCTGTACAATTTTCTGTTTTCTAATGTGTGCCAATGTCCTGCTAAGGCACCACAAAGTTCCTAGTTCTCTCACAAATCGGCGTGGGAAATCATGCCTCCCCACAACCCTCACTCTGTACTACTATTCTTAAACCAATGCGCTGACAACTGTTTCAAGTAGTAGATAAAAAAAAAAAAAAAAGCTAACACCATGATAAACAAGAAAAACAAAAAGATGATAACATAGTGTTAAACAAAAAATTTTTTTTTTTACAAATTGTCAAAGAAGCTAACACATCACAAGTGGTCTTGAGGCATAGCATCCAACTCGAGTTCTTGAGGTTCCAGTCCTGGTGAAGTCTGGGATTTTGTCACGTGGACTTCTAGTAATTTCCTCTGGTCTTTGGGAAGTGAGATCAGATCCCCGTGTGTATTGTTGCGCGCGTAAAATACCCCTGGCAGTTGGAAATAGGAAAGAGTAGCCTAACGGTGCTGCCCAGGCAAAATTTGGAGTAAGAATCTACCTAAAGTATTTCAGGATCCTCGTCCGTGCTACAGAGTTAATGCACTGAGATTCTTCAGACTCAGGCCGGACTTAGAAGTAGAACAGAGCACTTATGGGTTACTACCCTCATGCCTTGATGCTGATCTGCTATATAAACATCACACATCAGTAACAGCACGTACAATTCACAAAATATTACACGTATAGAACAAAAAAAAAAAAAAGCATTTAAAACAAAATTACACGTGTATCAAAGAAACATAAAATTAAAAGTACTTCTATCACGAGAGCCATGCTAGTGTAGCGGCTAGATGTTCGCTTGAAGATCTGTAGGTCAAATCTACAAAGTAGCAGATTTTTAAAATAAATTACACTGGCTTCCAGGTTGATGCACTCTAAAATGGGTATCAGGTAAGGTCCAGGAAAGTAAAGGTGGTCAGCAAGATGTTGACAACACCATCCAACAAGTGCTGACTGATGAAAAATACAGATCGAGCCCTATATGCCCGATTCACCAAAGGTGTGGAAAGAGTTCTTTACTGACTGCATGCTATTCCTCTGAGGCTATGGCATAATGATGTGAAGCTGCTAATTTCCACATCCAAAATCTTTCTGCCACGACAATTACTATAAAACTGTATGGTACTAATTTTATATGGCTAAGCTAACCGAGCATGAGGTGTTTCTTGTCTGCTGCTACTCTGAAGTATGATCACTATTTGTAATAGACAGCAGTGCAAGGATATATTGCATACAAAATACAATGATGATATCAGGAGAGTCAGCACAGAACCAGTACTGAACTTTATTGGTAGACAACAGATCAAAAGATTTAACCACATCACAGGACTGGCATCAGAGGCAGAGCACCACAGAGAGCAATGTTATACAGATACAAAGGTAACAGAGCTGATGTCGACTAAAAGGAATATGGAGCACAGAAATATCAGACACTGAAAAGTACTTTATAGGAAGTGAACAGAAGGGCCTGTTCCAGAGATCTTTTCCTGCCGTGACACTACAAGGCATTCCAGAAGTAGGGTAAAGAAGATACTACTCTCTTACGCATCCCAGATTTACTCTAATGGCTCTATTCTGTATGCATACAAGTTTCATCAGCTGATTCTCTGATATGGTGAGCATTTCAAGCCTTCTTTTGTGCTCTACTAGCCCTATCATGTAGAACCTCCCGTGGCTGCTTCTATGAAATTGTTCCTTTCCAAGCGAACCTGTAAAAATTGCAGATCCCAGTAGATAGAGTTTGTTATCTTCTTGGTCAGCCATATTCGCAACCTTCTAAAACACATTTTATTAAAACCACTTCTAAACTGTCTCTAAGTTTGCTTATAAAATTACTTTTAAAATAAATGTTAAATATAACGGATAATATTTGAAAATCACATCAAAGGGAGAGAGACAGAGAGTGTGTGAGAAAGATGTGTGTATGTGAAAGAGAGACAGTGTGTGAGAAAGATATGTGAGTGTAAGAGATACATATTGAATCAAATAATTATAAAATCTATGGTACAGAAAGTAAATATTAGTGATCTACAACAAAAACTTGTAGAATCAACAGAATGTGACCATGTACAAAATGAAAAGTACAGGAACCCACGAATGCTTTAAGCTAGGAGGCCTCGTCTTTTCATCATGTCGATATACTTCTGGTTATTTCGTCTGTCCACCTGCTGAACTCGTCTGACATCTCTGTGGGAAGAACATTAAACAAACTTTAAAGCCACAGAGACAATGCCTGTATCCACAACTGACATCTGTATCAGTACAGGGTGGGCCATATAGATGGAACATTTACATTACTGCCAGCAATAACTGTTGTGCATGTTTTACATGTAGCTTAACAGGAGGTGTAAGGATGGGAGTTACTGTTACACATTTCTTTCATTGCCCACTACTATCAATGAACTGACAAATAATATCAAAAGGCAGATAGCGGCCATCCCAGCCGAACAGCCTATGCTGAATATGACTGTTAGAGCCAAAGAATGTTCTCGTCAAGGTGGTGTCAATCTTCAAACACTGAACAAACAACTCAAGTCCTTTAGCAGTGTTTTCCATATATTTGGTAACAAATGTTGCTTCCTACATGCTCCACATATGTATTTGAAATCTGCCTTATCAATATGGCCCACCCTGTGTTTGGAAGCCTCGTACAATGCATATTATCAAATAATATTTTATTTAAAGTGCAATGGCAATCTATCGAAGTAAACAAAAAAATGTTGGAGTTCTGCAAAAACCCGTAAAGGATATGTAACTTTACATACCTTAAAGTCTGCTAACTCAATGGGTCAATTAAATGTCTAAGATTTATCTATGGTGAAATACATGGAAAATTTGCTGTGATCTAGTGATTCATTTTATAAAACTTCAATAATAAATACATCATTAAACATACCATGAATGCCAAGCTTAATTACTATTTGAACTGAACATGCTATGAGACATACCTCCATGCATACACATATGATGAGAGAGACATAGGAGGGGGAGACAGGGAGATGAGAGATACAAAGGAGGGAGATTGCAGACAAGTTTAACCACACGTACACCTCACAGTATGACTGTTTTACCATACAGAAACCTCAGTTTAATAATGTGACTATACAGACAGCTCATACTTGAAGCATCTCACTATTTCAATTACCTCACAGTTTAATTACCTGACTAAACATACTCCCAACCTATAAATTATTTTACTATACAGACAGTTGAGTTTCAAGAAACAACGTCAAAGCACGCTGGTTACTGCCATAATTGCTCTGTCCTCATCTTCAGCAGCCAGAGAAGACTGCAAACTTCGATTGTACTAGTAACAGTATGACTGATATCTACACACACACACAGAGACATCCATGCATACTTACACACAGAGACACACACACACAAGGCATAGATGCATAGAGACATATATGTACACAGAGACTGACATGCACACACACACATATATATACACATGCACTCTAGCTCATATAAACATTCTTAAATATACCTATACATACACAAACCTCCAAATGGACATAATTACCTATGCACACACTCATACACACAAACACGTCTGTACACATATACATGCAACCAGCCAGTCTATTCCTCAGCAGACCTGGGAAAATATTGAAAGAATGCTTACTACCCTGGACCTCTGAATCGATGCGTGCACATTCAAATAAAAATTAAATTTTTCTACACTTTACAACTCACAAAAAAGTACAGGGAAAACAGTAAAATATCAGACATATAAGGAAGAAGGTACAATAAAAATAGGGCTCTAAATGCCCTAAAAACAACCAATAGGCTTACTTGGTGTTGACTGGTCTAGTTTTGCTAGCCATAACCTGTCTCGACGGCCTCTCTTGTTTCACAGGGGCTACAACTGCAGTTGGCTGAGGCTTGTTAATGTCCAGCGGCTGGAGTCGACCAGTGTGTGGCTTCCATGAGAGCGGTTTAGCCAAGCTCGCCTTCAGGTCAAAGGATTTCTTCTGGGAGTTCACAGTTATGTTGTGTGCAGCATTGTTGCCGGTAAAAATGAATGGAGTGGCTGAAAAAAAAAGACTTTATCATTTGTTTCAATAGTGGGAATTCCCTTTTGGGTACCAGGGCCCCATGGTGGGGAAAAACAAGAATAGACTCATTGCCTACCCAACAAGCATGTATCAAGAGTCGAATAACTTGGAACTTTCTTCGAAGTCGGAGTACATCTGCCTGAGCGGCAAGGAACAACCAACTGCACACAAATAAGCCAGTAAAACAGATGTACGTGTAATATTCAGGCCCTGGCATAAAGCCGAAGCCCAAATGGACGAACAACTAGGACTTTCCACCATAGCTTATAGCCAGTGAACAAAGAATCAGAATTGTGGAAATTTCTTCTGCGCTTGTCCTTAAAATGGTGGTGGAGTTGAGTTGATTCAAGAAACGACATCACGGCACTCGAGGCATTCCTATAAGCACTCTGTTCTCATCTTCAGCAGCCAGTGAAGAGTTCCAATACGAATGGTGGCAGTAGCATTCTGATTAAATGTCCGTCTTGCCTTTCGTTTGCCAGAATCTCTCACTGTGGTAAATGGTGATCCAACTGGTCCACCTAACTGTACACGCTCTCCCACAAGGCACTAATCACGTCTGCCTCATCATAAATCAGAATAGTGGTAGGAACATTGTTGTGGATTATAGCTAAGCTACCAGATCTGCCCAACATATTTCAGTTCAGTAAAAGTCCTTTAAAAAAACACACACAATTAGTCAACTTATCTGACCTGTTTGTTAGGCAACACCCACTTCACGCCCCCCCCCCCCCCCCCCCAAACCAAGGAGGCCCCAGAACCCATGCGGGAGAGAATAACACAAGGTCAAAACAAATACTGTACAAACATAAAGACGTCAAACTTACCTCGGTTGCCAGTCCCTACAGACTTCCTGGCCGATGCTGTTACCGCTGGTTTCCGTGGTGTAGGAGATGCTTCATTTGCTGCAGGAGCTGGTGTTTTTAAGGCAACCGGGGTTTTGCTAAAATTAAAAGCGATGTTTTTCGTCGAAGTTACAGTAGGAACAAAAGGGTTGACAGCTGCTACTGGTACCTGAAGCCTGGCAACTGGCTTGACAATTTTTGCCTGAAAGACACAAATAGATCAGTTATCTTCTGTCTGCACAAAATGTTTTTATAAATAAATAAACCAAGAACTGACATCACTGCACTTCTTCTTCTTCTTCTGCGTTCGATATCAGTCATGCTAAACATTGAGTCCCGTCTGGGTCACAAATAGGATTGTGCGTTTAAGGTCGCCACCGGTCCCCCATAGCTTCTCTTGCAATGTGGCTCCTTTGGGCCAGATCCACAGTCTTTGCTGGGAGAGGTAAGGGCAGTACTGCAGTATGTGTTCAGGGGTTTGTCTTTCTGCTCCACAATCACAGGCAGCAGATTCTTTTATGCCTATCCTGTACAAGTGTGCTCGAAGACCACAGTGTCCAGTCCGAAGTCTAAGAATTGATGTTTGTTCTTTCCTGTTGAGTTTGTTTATGCTGTCACTCTCTGGTGTGTAATCTCCATTCTGCCTTCTCCACTCCCGCTTGAAAGACTGCTTTAGCGCTGTTTTGGTTTCCTTGTAGCTGTGTGGTGGATGAGGTTGTGGAAGATTACTCCCAGCTTTTGCCAACTCATCTGCTCTCTCATTTCCTTGAATACCACAGTGGGCTGGTATCCACTGCAAGATCAGTTCTGCTTCCTTGGAGAGTAAGCCAATGTTGGTCCTTAGATCTGCAATTATTTTGTCTTGTTTTTTGCTTGATAGTGCTTGAAGAACAGACAATGAGTCACTAAGTATAACAATTTTGTGCCCTCTGTGTTCTTGAGTGATGAGATGTTGGACTGCAGAGAGGAGGGCAGTTGCCTCAGCTCTGAAGTTAGTGCAGATGTCACCTGCTGGTAGAGAGAGAGTTTCTGCTCTACTGCTAGGGGGTTTAATGTAAATTCCACAACCCCCCTTTCTGACTGCATCTGTAGCAGAGCCGTCGGTGAAAACCTGAGTCCAAGTGGTGTTTGGATACTTCTCATCAAGCATAGCAAGAGCCAGGGTTCTCTGTTGTGTCTCCGTCTGGGCATCTTTTGAAGTGATTCCTGCTACCTTTAGGACTACATTTGCTTTCTCTGGCTTGCTTGTCCATGGTTCTGGCCTAAGTTTTTCGCACAGTGCAACATCTCTTTCAAGCAGATCTTGGTGCTGTCTGTACAGTTCTCTAGCAAGGCGGTTGGGGCTCTGACGATTCAGTCTGTTTTTTGTTCTCTCTTGAAATTTAAAATGCAGTGGGTGACTTTGAAGTCTTTTTAATTTCTCATACTGTAAAAGAGTTTTGTATTGTCTTCTGAGTTCGAGTGGTTCAGTATCTGCTATCTTTTCTATTTCTCTGATGGGGGTGGTTTTCATGGCTCTGAGAACAATCCTTAATCCCATATTCTGAACCTTGTCCAGTTTTCCCATTGTTGTCTTGGCTGCTGCAGCCCATGCAGTGGAGGCATATTCCATGACTGGCCTGACTGCTCCAGTATATACTTGTTTTAGGATTCTAGAGTTAGCGCCCCATGTGATACCCGCTAATTTTTTCATAACTGCAAGCTTCTTGAATGCTTTTCCCTGTACTGCTTCTACATGTGACTTCCAAGTTAGTCGCGAATCAAGTGTAACGCCCAGAAAGGTAGGAGTGTCAGTCTGTGGAATGAGCTGGTTTTTAATCCAAATTTCGATTTTTTCTTTTTTTTGGGGAGAGAGAGAAAAGTGATGCTGTGCTTTTTGATTTATTTAGCTTTAGAACCCACTTTTTCGGTCCAGGCTTCTACATTTTTCCACAGTTTTTTGTAACAGATATGAGGCTGTGGTAGTGTATTCGGAGGCTGTCCAAACTGCAAAGTCATCGGCATGTAGGGTATTAAAAACGTGCTGGTGGCAGGTTGCTGTGATATCATTAATGTAAACCAGGAACAGAGTTGGTGATATAGCACTGCCCTGGGGAACTCCTTCTCTAAGTTTTGCCAATGTGTCCATCAATTCTGAATCTGGCTCTACGTTGGAAAAGAAAGTCTTTGATCCACTTGTACATGTTGTGCACAACTCCTGCCTGTAGCAGTTTTAGTTGTAGGCCTTCTTTCCAAACTGCATCAAAAGCACGAGAGAGGTCAAAAAAGACAGCAAGAACTTTCTTTTTTTCCTGGAAGGCATAATCACTGCACTGAGAACATTGCCACACGTGCTCCATCCCCTTCTCCAGTAGCTAATGATAAGTCGACATGCTAACAGTATCAATAAATGAGATGTTTAACTGGATGGTTAATGGTTTCCCTACCACCCACAGAAGTATGAAAATGACTGGTTCTTACTTTAAAATAATAAATGGGAATATGGTGCTATTCTATGTAATGGGGTCAACATCACGACAGGCGCCTTAAACTGCCTCCTGAAAGCTTAAGTTGTCTTTTTTCACATTTACCGGCTGTACTCCAGCAGACAGTTCTGGATGTTCACTCTTGTTCCTCTGGCAGATGTACTCTGACTTTGAAAGATGCCCTCAATTAGTCGCCTCTTATGACATGCTTGTTAAGGAGCCAGTGGGTCTATTCTTGTTTTGCCCACAATAGGGTTCCAGAACCCACAGGCGGCTCAGTAGCCATGAGCATTTAGCATCCAAACAGACACATTTACAGAACAATTACTGCATGTATGCGTCCACTTGGAGGATGTAAGAAACACACACACTTCCATATACATATAATTCAGCATAATAAAAAGTTCAAAAACAGATACAAGATTTTCTATACTATGACGTAATATATATATAAATATATTGGAAAGAAAAGGTCAACCAAAGAATGAACGAACGAACACACTTTATTTTTAAAGGGTTAAGAATAGGGCACGCAGGCCCGTCTGACATTCTGCCCTTCGAGGTCTCCCTCTATTCTTACATCATTTCAGTCACACATCAAGTAATAAACATTATCAAAAACATCACAATATTCAGTACAAGCACTGGAATATCTACATTTCTAACTACAATCAACCATAGTTTGAGATGAATGGAGGTGGGTGATACCTGCAGCAATTAACTTCAACGGCTCAGAATGCTGAAGAAGAGTTAGATATATAAATATACAGCGCTATATATAAGAGATATATAAATATACAGCGCTATATAATAAAGAGATATATAAATATACAGCGCTAGTCTTTTTTGATAAATCAGCATGATAAAAATACAAACTAATGATGTCACAAGGATTACATCACTGCATCATTTGAACATAAGAGAACTAACCCCTCGTCTTCTTGTGACAACTGTGGAAGGCCTTTTGGCACTTCCAGTCAACTTGTCCATTCTCTGCTGCTTCCTCTCCAGATAGACATCCAGGGAGTCAAACTTGGAGAACTCTTTCTTATGAATTTTTGTCCAGTCTTTGTTACCTGTGAATGAACAAAGTAATATTCACAGCAACAGAAAAATGTGCATTGATCTTACAGATAAATGCTATTAACCGCCTGACCCCTAGATCCCGTTATAAAGACCAGGTACAAAGTAAACACCCCTTTCCATGCCTTTCTGATGTATTGGGCACATAGGGCTACACCTATATTTTGCAGACCAATCAGCACTCGACGGGTGATGTGGTTAACTTCATGCCAGCCACCTTTACTTCCCAGGACCTTATCTAGGATCTATTTAAAGCTAGGTCAACCTGGAAGCCAAGATTATTTTGAAAAAAAAAAGTCTGGCTTCGTCGGAGCAGGAACGCATGACTGGCCGCTACACCACAACAGTTTCTCAACCTAAGTATATAATCATAAAATCATCACGGAACCAGTTACGTTGCAGCGTTTGATGAAGCCTGTGGTTTTGTACACTTTTCCTCATGCAGATTCCAGGGCCCCAGTCTGAGGGGGGAGCCGACCCACTGCCCCCTAACAAGCATTTCGTAAAAGGCGACTAATTAAGTGTTTGCTGAAGCCAGATGTGTTGAGCCAAAAGGCATACATATCACACCCTAGGCAAAAACAAACAAAAAATCAGAAAAATCCAAATCCTTAACAAGCATGTCAGAAAATGGAATTAAGGAATTGCTGAAACTGGATGTGATGTTGGACTGGAAAGAGCAGATACCACAGCCTAACTTCAAACCACAACACAAGGGGGCAAGCGCCCTTTGAAGGGTTTACATAAAAGAGGTAGAAACTGTGTGCAATGGGATGTGTTTCTCCTTGGGTGATCTTAAGAACAACACTCAGTAGTTCACCTTTGTGCCCTTGTGGGCTCTGTGTGCAGACTATAGAACATGTCCTGCAAGACTGTCCCTTGTTCAGACCATTAAGAAAGGAATACTGGCCCAGTGAGTCACCCCTGCACTCAAAGTTGTATGGGACTAAAAAGGAACTCATAAAAATTATATTCATAATAGTCAATTTTATCACAAGAACCTGTCTGTTGGTGTAAATCAGAAAGCAAACACAAGAAGAAGAAGAAGACTGGAGCACTAGTGGAGATAAACACTCAGTTGAGGGACTTTATGATGGCTATTCCATTGGAGAACTGAGCCCTGATGGGAATACCTGATGTGCAGTGATGTCAAAACAAAACATATGATGAAAGTGATTGCTTTAAAACAATGTTTTCCAGCATTGAATTTAAATCAAGCGGATATAAACAATAAATGGCTTAATTTATTGGCCAGACAAAAAAAGAATACACCTGGTAATCAACTGTGCAAGGTAATGTCCACATTATTTAACAGTGTTTCTCCACAAAACCAGATCAAAGATGATGTCCCCTGTCCCCACAAACCTAAAGAGTTGAGGTGTAATGGCTAGTGAAGCTGCCACAAACTGTCCGCATGAAGATTTTTATTTTGTCACTATGAGAACAAATTCCCCTTCTCTTACACGGTGTTTCTACGCTATATTAATAATTAGAGATGCTTACCTGGCGTAACAGGTTTTTGACTTTCATTTTCTTGTTGGCTAAAAATGCCATGAATCTAGGGATCTGACTGGGTTGAGGTTGGGCCGTAGAGCTCTGTCGTGCAGGACTGGCAACTGAGAAGGCACAGTTGGAAAAACAAACACATAAGTCAGCTTCAGAAATAACATAAATATATATTTTATAAATATTTATCCTAGGATAAGATTTTGACTACAGAAACTGAAACAACCCGCACGCTAAAGTGGATAGAAAGTTCTAACATGATGTTTTTCCCATCTGCACCTGTGGCTTCAAACTTGATTCACATGTTTATATTTAATATGTCACGAATGTTTAGTTTCATGTAATCCAAAATGTGACATATTTTCTGTCACCTCTTACTTCTTTGCCTCACCTGAAATAAGTCGTCTATATCTGCAGTTTTGTCTCTCATAGAAATGTCACCGTCTTTTTTAGTTAACTAAGTGGTCTGTAAAGTTTAATTTCTACTGGCTGATGCACTAATTTCTAATTTTGTACACATGCAGATGTGTAATCAGTTGTCTTCTGTTCTAATCTGTCCATAATAAAGTAGTAATTTTGTGTCAGGGTTGGTGGTTTTCTGATTATTTTGTGATACTTTTCTTCCAGGTGTAGGTAACTGGTACAGTCGGCCACTCTTCTGTCACATTCATTTCCCTGTCAACTGATTAGCTCTCATTTCCAGGCCTCTTACCTAAAAATACTCAGTAATTACAAAGTGACTACTTTACCCCTGTTCACAAAAATATGAAACAATATAAACTCAGGAAAATAAGAAGAAATTAAGTTTAAAAAATGTTTCAACAATCAAAAGAACTACCTTTGTTTTTAATTTTCTTATCGAGCGCAGACAGTAGTTTTTGTTTTCGTTCAGCGCTGGGCAAACTGGCATCAATTTCCTCAATCATTGCTTTAGTACCTGGGCTACTGGTAGATGAGGAAGTAGCTTGCTCAGCCAAACCATCTAGTGAGTAAACAAACAAAACAAAATAACTCAGTGATATCCAAAAATTAAAGGACTTATACTGTGTATTTCTTTTTCTTAGAAAGAGAAATCATTTCAATATTCACAGTTCAAACCTTGTCGTCCCAGGGCTCTTCTTCTTCTTCTTCTTGTGATCGCGCACTGATTTACACTGACAGACAAGGTCTTGTAATAAACATTGTTTTTAGGAGTTCCTTTCAAGTTTCATACAGCTTTGAGTGCAGTGTTGACTTGGTGGGCTAGTATTTCCTTTCTAATGGACTGTACGAGGGATATTCTTGCAGGACATGTTCTGTAGTCTGCGCACACAGCTCACAAGGGCACAATGGTGAAGTGCTTAGACGAAGCCTGTGCAGATGCTTTTTATGTCCTGCCCTGAGGCACACAGTATTTACCTGCCCATGCCAGTCAAAGTAGGTGGTAGTCATCTCTGACCAGATTCTATTCTCTTCTGATAGACTGCATGGCCCTTTTCTTCTTAAAGTATGTTGCTGCATTGTCTTTCTTTTCACATTCGGCTCATTCTTAGCAAAGTTTTTCTCCACTTTCTTCTCCTGATATAGCACAGTGGAATGGCACCCACCAGAGTACAGTACGCTATTGGGCAGCTATTCTGCCTAGTTTAGACCTCTTGAGGACTTTGAGTACCAATAGCATTTCATAGCTGATTTCATCTGGACCTGCAGACTTTTAACTTGAGCCTGGGTTTTGGGATCCCATTGTGAGGAAAACAAGAATAGACCCACTGTGTCTACCCAAAAGCATGTTGTGAGAGTCAACTAATTGGGAGCTTTCTTTGAATTCAGAGTGATCAGCCTGAGAGCCAAGAAATCAACAGTCTGCAAACAAAAAAATCAAATCTGTACAATGGACGTGCACATAACACTAAGGTTGTGAAACTGGACTAGTATCTACAAGTGGACAAACAACTAGAACTTTACGCTGAGGTTTACAGCTGGTGATTGTGATTTCACACAAAAACATCTTTTACACACCTTTCTGTTTTTACACAAAAACATCTTTAGACACCTCTCCGTTTTACACAAAAACATCTTTAGACACCTTTCTGTTTTACACAAAAACATCTTTAGTCACCTTTCTGTTTTACACAAAAACATCTTTAGACACCTTTCTGTTTCACACAAAAACATCTTTAGACACCTTTCTGTTTCACACCAAAACATCTTTAGACACCTTTTTGTTCACACGTAAACATCTAGCTCTACACAAAGAAAAACCACACTGCACTCACCATCAATTCCATCTTGTGATGATTCCTCTACATCATATGTGTTCTTGCGCACCCGCTTTCTAGCCGGTTCCTCCTGCTGTCCCACAGGCTGCACACCACCCTCATATGATCTTTGTCTTGAGCTTCTTCTGTCTTTCTGGTCTTCTAGTACAGGTGTATTCTGGGCACTCAAAGTTGGTTCATCCAGTTCAAAAGTTCTCCGCCGTTTCTTGATAGCCTTGCTGACTGCAGGAGTTGTAACAGTGTCTGAAGATGCAGGTGGAGCTTCAACACTCTTCTTGGCAGAAGATTGAAATGAAGGAGTCGCTTAAAAACAGAAGTAAAAATATGCGGGTAAAATAAATGTTAGTATTCTTCGCAAGTATATCTTTACAAAAGAATGCATTTAAAAGGGAGATAATAGACGTGTCTGGCCGATAGGTGCAAAAAACACAGTAAACCACAAGGCAATTTTAATGTCGAACACAGAAGAAATAGCTTCATTGAGGACTGACGTCTACAGCAGCCTGTTATTTAAAAATCAAATAAGAGAATGTACCACCTGTCGTAGAGTGAACAGACAACCCTACACGATGGACGAGTCGTGATGCTGACTTCCCTTAGCGGGCACGTCACATTTCAAACTTAAACCCGTCCAAAGGGGTATATTATGTCCCTTATATTGATCTACACTTTTATATGGTGAAATATTCATTTCTAGACCCTCTAGTTGCTTTGAGAAATCTTCATTTTCAAACTTGCATATGAGAGCTGTAAAATGGATGTGCAAGCTAAACTCAGTTCTGAAACAAGATTAAGTCCAGATATATGAACAACCAGAAAACTTTCTGCTGGAGTTTACAGCTAGTGAATACAAAGAAGAAGAACTGAACAGACTAAACAAGTCACATAAAAGAAGAACTGAACAGACTAAACAAGTCACATAAAAGAAGAACTGAACAGACTAAACAAGTCACATAAAGTCTGTAGTTACCTTTCTTCAAACTTCCAAAGAAGCTGCCATCTTCCGTAAAGGACTCAGCAAGGGAGAGCTGGCAGGAAGCGATGCAGATGTGACTTGACTTTTCACTCTGTCTCTTGGCAGACCCTTTGTGACTAGTTTAGCAGCAAGCTCCTTGGTAGCTCCTTCAGACTCCGAACCACTCTCCTGTGACATTCAACAACAGTGTTATTATTGCCAAATATCAATGTGAGTTTGAAAAAAAAGGGGTCCTTGTCTACATCTAGGGCTAGATCTCTATTTCACAGACCATGGCATCTGGAGGGTGATGTCAAAATCATGCCAGCCGCCTTTACTTCCCAAAAATGTACCTGGTACACATTTCAGGCTGGGTCAACCTGGGAACTAATGTCATTGTAGATAAAGGTCCGGCTTCATCGATGAACTCTAAATTAACATAACTGCATATTCCCCAGCAAATAATTAAATCTTTATCACTAATGTTTTATGAAAAGAGTTGATCTACACACAAGCTGACATAGGACATTGAGGGAACCCTGGATGAAACATGAAAATTATAAAATCAACCGTCTTTTCAGTAGACTGTGAGGGGAAGTAACGGTCAGCAAAGGACCCACAACATAATAATGTCACTATTAATATTTGCAACACCCTCTGATGTGTCTCCACCATGGTGAGGTTAGCAAAGCTTGTGAGAGCTCTAAGGTGTGCCTTTCAATTAATGTTCTACATCCCAACGGCCTTAGAAATTCTCCAGACCTGTGTCACCACTTATGTAATGTTAGGCTAAAAGCAGTGCAATAAAACTAGACCCCAAACCCTCTACAAGTAGTGAAAGACAATGATATGAAACATGAGCCAAGCCAAGATTCCCAATGTTATCATGTGTAACACCTTTTAAGCAATAATCTCCCTAAATTCCCTTCCTGCTTCAATGTGCCGTGTCAGTATTTTTAAAAATCAAGATACAGCAAATACAATGCATTTATATCTGTTTCTTTTATGTTTTCTTATTCTTGATCACCATTTTTTTTTAAAACTTTTTTTTACACTGCAATGTAGTTAGAAATATCTTCTTCTTTTTTGTGTTCACCAGCTGTAAACTCTGACGAAAAGTTCTGGCTGTTCATCCCTTCTGGACTGCAGTCCTGTTCCAGAACCTGAGTGTTGCATGTGCATCAGTTTTACAGATCTGACTCATTTGTATGCAGACTGCTGGTTCCTTGCCTCTTAGGCAGATGCACTCCGACTTTAAAGGAAGCTCCCAATTAGTCGACTCTTACGACATGCTTTTGGGTAGGCAGTGGGTCTATTTCCCCCCCCCCCTATAATAGGGTCCGCAACCCAAGCGGGGATTTAGAAATATAAATGTTACAATGTGTGTTAGGACTCTAAAACAGATTACTTTAGCTTCCATTATTTTTATTTTTAAAAACTGCACTGAAATCAAAGCAAATATGGAATTTGTACGTCGTCTTGAAACGGATTAAGTTTGAATTTTGAGGTATCACTGTACTTCATATGTTTATACGATCCTAAAATGGTGCAAACACTGACTTTTTTGTGTGGACCAAACGATACAGTTGGAGCAATTTGGCCAACTTTATACCAGCTGTCTTTTCATTCCAAGTGAAATGTCCAGTATCTATTTAATGAGCCTGGCTTACTTCCAGAAACCGTACAGGCGGGAAAGTACATTCTATTACCACAAAAAAAAAAAAAAAACATAGAAAACAATGGATGAGAACATTTCAAAGTCATACTAAACAAAAACACTTGCGTACAACACAATCTAAGCAAACAAATCTGGCTTTTGAATGCAAGTGTAGGTTTCCTCTGACCTATATTTAATGGCAAGTGAGGTTTACATCAGGAAAAGGAACATCCCCCTGGAGTAACAGACACCTGGAGCTAGGAAACAGCAGAAAAAACCGGAGGATTGTGGACAACTGAGGACAGTGGCAGACATAGATATTCTTACACGTAGTTTTCCTGCTGTCTTCTTTGAAATCTTCACTGGAAGACGTCGTTGTCCAAGAGCTTTCTGTTTATTTTCTGGTGTTGTCTAACAACAACAAAATAATAAGAAAAAACTATTAACATAACATTTTTCCAAACGAACAATGCACTGTAGCCTGTAGATTATTGCGTGTGCATAGAAACAATGGCCTTAGTTCAGTCCCTAGCAGTGACCTGGCATATGGGGGGGGGGGGGGTTTAGCTGATAACTAATCCTCAATGATCATTACACAATGGCCTAGTTTATTTGAATATCAAATTCTGGTGGAACAAAAGGTGAAAAGGGGATGCTTTGATTGGATACACAATGAGAAAGTCTGAGTACCATATAACTAGAATGTCTTACACTGGAACCGACAGGTCAAAGAAATAAAGGCAGGAAAAACCCATACAGAGAGAAGGGAACTAGAGTGTAATGTCAAAAAGATGGGGAGGACATAGGATGAGCTGCGTGTGATAGAAAAGGATAAAATGTCTTGTCTAAGGGCCTATGTTTCACTGAAGGGAACAGGCAGAAGAATATAGAAAATCTGTGAATATTTAATATTCCCTCCTTTTAGTAATATCTGCTCAAAATACGATTTTTATGTCTTGAAATCACAATAGGAAAATTTAATGTACAACTCTACCATACAGTTGAGAGATTATGTGCAGGAATGTTGTGTTAGGATCATTCGTAGTTCAGTGGCTAACTTGCCTGCTTGTGGCGGTGTGATCAAAAACCCCACTTCTTTGCATTTACCACCTGTTAAACCAGGCAGAAAGTTCTAGCTGTTCGTCCACTGCTGGACTTTAGTCTCACTGCAGCAGCTTGAGTTTTGCGTGCATATCCTTTTTACAGATCTGGCTAATTAGTATGCAGACTGTTGTGGCTCCATGCAGACTTGGCATTTATAAAAACAAATACCTAGGCTTCTATGTTTACCTACCCTAAAACAAGTACAAGCAAATTTCCTGGGCAGTGAAAGCACATGACATGAAAAGTTAAGTGCCAGTTAGTCTAAAAGATGTAGCTAGCCTAAACTCGCCTTGTGGCGAACAATGGAGATTTTGTGACAGACTTCATAACAGAAATCAGTGCATTTATTGTTTTTGTTTGTAACTGGATCATTGTCCGTCTGTGATGAAGGCTTTCTGGCGCAAGTTTTTTTCTTCTTAGTGTCCACCATCTGAAAATGCATCCATTTAAAGACTTTTGTCTTGTTCCTGAACCTTTGATGCATGTAAATAAAACAGCATCAACTGACTTCCACTCATCACAGATTGAAATAACTCACAGATACAAGAGCAAGAAATTAACTAGTTCTATTGGGGAAAGGGGCGGGAGCACAAAGACAACTTATCACAGACATCAGAAGGGGTCAGTCATCATTTTTCAGCCATATTATGAGAAGAGGGAAAATGGAACATGTTGTGACCACTGGAAAGATCTGCGTAAGGAGGGACAGAGGAAGACAATGAGAGAAGATTCTTGAGTCTTGTTGCATTGCATGAAGGTGTGTCAGCACATAAACTGATACATGCAGGAGATTGTAGATTGTGGAGAGGTATAATCGGCCACGCCAGTCGACAGGGCACCTGATGATTGGGGACATGAGTTTGGTAGATGTGTGAAAGAAAAGAAAATACCCAAAAAGCTTTAATCTTATTATAGTTTACCAGCTGGTTGTTCGTTCCACTTTTGGACTTTTGGTTTTGTTTTATGACTTGAGTCTTATGTTCACATCTGTTTTACAAATGTGACTTTCATGAATGTAGACTGCTGGTTCCATACCTCTAAGGCAAATGTACCCAAACTTCAAAGGAAACACCCCCAAATTGAGGTTCATTGCTGCAAATATCACATGCCTCCATTCATCTCTAGGACTGGCTTTCTCTTTCCAGTTAGTGTTTGAAGGTCTGTATATTATCTCTACAACTGTTTTCATGGTCTACTCCCTTTTACTCTTTTGTGTACGCAGATATCTTATCTCTGTTATCTGCTTTCTCTCTATATGCCAATAATCTCCAGTAAACTTAATGGCATTTAAATACAACAATCAACATAAAATATACCTCAACATCGGTCAAATCTGTAGCAAAGTCCTCAGGGCTATCTTCATTCTCCAGGTAGTGCTCCTTTAGTGCCTTCATCAGCTTGTCCACCTAAAGACACAGAAGATGTGTGTACACATTCATTTGAAAATCCAGCAAAACAAATAAAACTATGTGGTATGTCTAATTGACAGTTATATCACACCTGACGACCTGAGCTTATGAACTAGACAACTCCCCATACACTGATGATCTGCCTTTTCTAAAACTAGCAAAATAATTCATTTATAACTTTTTCAATCTCAGGCGACATTTTATATCCTTGCTGTCCTTATCTTTTCACCTTTAGAAGGGTTGTTGGCAAGTTGTATTGTGGTTTACAGCAAGGCTGCAATATCTGCATCTTTCCACCCAACACATCTGATTTCAGAAAACCCCCTAATTAGACACCTTTCGAGACATGGGACAGTGACCCCACCCCCAATCATAAACATTATTGATTATTAGTAAATTATGTAGATGGGCAGAGGCATAGTTTTACAGAAGAATGAGAGCATAGTGGACAGATGAAAACATGATGAAACTTAGTGACAGAAATTAACTAATAAACAAGGGGCCCTTTTGTTATTCTATCTATTTTAGACTTATTTTAACAATAAGACATAACAAACTATGGAATAAGTGAATCGGAGAAGCCAGCCTAGGATTACAGTTACAGCAGCAAAATAAACAGAGAGAGAGAGAAGAGAAAGAATAGGAAACATCAACTTTATCAACTTAGAGCCAAAATATGAGTTAGATTATATTCACAGCACTCCGGACACACCCATAGGCGCTTTAAGGATCTCCTCCAAACTTCTACCCCGGCATTATGGCGGCCGAACAAATATCCTTACACTCACTGCCGACAGTATCCCTCGCGCCGCTACGCGCGGATGGGGGGGGGGGGCTAAATAGGTGCCTGGGACTCACGTGCAAATTAATTGGAGGAAGTTGCAGAAGATGTGGTAGCTGCTGCTTGTGAGTCCCAGCCATCTAGTTTAGCTCCCATCCGCGCGGGGGATAAGGTCGGCGGCGAGGCATAGTCACAGAAATAGGTTCGCAATTAACATATCGCTGAGACCCTGTTAGAGCATTTGTTTCGTTATACGGAGCCGATTCTAGTTTTACCGTGATTCGTTGGTCGCCGGAAGTTCGCATATTTTTAATAGGACTGAGCCCTGTAAGGATATTTGTTGCCGCCATAATGCAGGGGTAGAAGTTCGGAGGAGAGCCCGCTTTAATAATATAATATTAGTGGGGAAAATACTTCCTAATAGTGATTAATACTAATAATTACTAGAAACGAAAAAAGATATATCCAGTATGTAAAAATTTTAAAAATAACAACATACAACAATATTAATACTAATAATTAAATAACAACATAATTAAAATCAACATCTTGACAGACTTCATTTGGTTTTTTTTTTTTAAATCATATTCACTTGACCACCGTCCATTTTTGGAAGTGGAAAAGAAATTAATTACTTTTAGCATAAAAATAAATTTAAAATTTCTTTTACTTTTTGATAATTTTGAATTTTCTATCTAACAAAATATTTAAAAATAAGTTCCTGTCTTATATAACTTATAAACACAGCACATTTATTATTATTGCGCCTGAATTCGTATTTGTTTAGTAATATAATAATATTCAGTTACATGATGCTAGCAAATTTTTTTTTTAGTTAAATTAAAAATAAATATACGATTTATGATTTACTATTTGATTTTGACAACTAAAATCTACTACTAAAGCGAGTGAGTCAACAAGTGAGGAGACAGACAACCACCTCCCTCCGTCCTACCTACCTACGGCCTACGGCATGCCTTTATTTCTTGATTACTAAAATAAAACATTACTTCCATACCTTTTGGTTGGCTTTTATTCCAACACTCTTGGCTAGTTTTTGAAGTTCCGCATATTTCAATGAATTCAAATCCTTAACAAACATTTTCAACGGCAGTAATGTGACAAGTTTAAAACAAAAAGTTAAATGGCAGAGTTTGTTGTCATCATGGACGCAGCTTCCGCTAGCAGGAATACAAACCGGGCTACCATTTGAATGTTTCTCTCCTGCGCTCCGATTGGCTGAAATCTCTTCGTCATCTTCGTCAATTACTCGTTTGTCGGACAACACATTTATGAACAAACGGGAGCGATTTGGTGCGTCTTCTCCTTTTTCGTTCACACTTAAAATGGGAATTCGTACGTTATATTGCCGTTTACAGCTAGACCTTTACGACATCCTTGTTAGGGCCAGTGAATTTATCTTTCTGTTATTGTTTAATAACTTTCTTATACAACAAAGTGTCAAATATGCCATGACTTAAGAAGCAATCATAGTACTACAGACGAGAAGCATCAGAACCTGAGCATTCATGCAGATTTGTTGATAAGAGGGCTGAGTTCTCACTCCCCCACTCTTAGAAGACTGAGCTCATATCCTCCTACAAAATTTGCAAAGGGGCTAAGTTTAAGTGACCATTCGTCCCCGATTTTCGCGGACAGTCTCAGAATTAGTAGTTATGTGCCAGATCTTTTGTACTCTCTAATAGTTAGCCCTGAAAACACCCAGGGAAAAAAAATGCTCACTCTGCATAATTCATTTTTCTATCGAACATCTCTGGGGCTATCTGCTTTAACAAGTTTTCCACAGTTGTAGGTAATTTACATGATTTATTTATTTGTTCAGTAATTGTACCCCCTCCCTTTTTTTTAAAGTTCCATTTCTGACACCCTATCGGGTAATGATCTATATTATTCATTTCTAGCTTCTTCTTCTTCTTGACGTTCTCCGGATGTGAACTCCGACAAAAAGCTGTGGTGGTTCAACCACGTATGGAATTCGCTATTGTTCCATATTTTAAGTTTTGCGTGCACATTTATTTTACATATCTAGTTTATGTGAATGCAGATTGTTGGTTCCTCGCCTCTCAGGCAGATGCACTCTGACTTCAAAGGAAACATTCCCAATTAGTCGTTTTTTATGGCCTGCTTGCTTGCAAAGTGCGATGTGGACTACCCTTCCACACCCCCCCCCCCCCCCCCCGCCCACTCACCACCAATCCCCTAGTTACCCCGTATGTGGTCCAGGAACTGAGACTGAATTTCTGACAAAATTCTTTTAAAAAATCCAATTTATTCAAGCAAGCCCACTCAAGTTGTAGTTTAGGCCATTTTCTATTGAATGTATTTTCACATTCTTCTGTTATCTGACATTGCCTTTTAGGGGCATTGAACAGCACAGATCACCTTCTCTACTCCAAAACGCTGTCCCGTCAGCGTATTTTTCATTGTGTATAGTTATTATATTGATAACGAAAAACTGCATCCCACACGGGATAATTATAAAATCAAACAATTTCTTGAGGCGTCAAAGATGCGGTTTTACAAAATAATACTTAACATCCCTTGAATATACAAATCATGAAATGTAGCCTAGATGTTTTGAAATAATCGAGGACCCGAAGACAACTTGTCACAACACCAGATAGTTAGATTATTGTGCTGAGATTGTCCCCTTGTAGAATGCAATTTTTCTTTATATGAAGCCCGGCCCTGGTTTTTATCGGGGGCCCTGAATAAAACTGGGCCACAAACGTAGCCATAACGGCTGAAAGGGGTTTCTGGGACCTCTCCACGGGTGATCCTCATCCGCATGGTGGCACCTTGTGTCACCGGGTGTTTATCGCTTGTGTAATGTCCTGGTGGGGTACATGCAACAAGCATCAGATATAGGGAAACTTAAACGTTGCAGCCACTGGGAAAATGTTTGGAAAGAAACAGAGAGGAAAAACAACATGAAAGAATTATCGACAGCCTTTTGCCACCTCACGGAGAGGTGACAGCACACTCTTCTACTTATTCGGGTATCGAGGGAGATAATCCGTGTTTTCTTTTTTTTTTGTATACGCAGTGTAGAGTGTGGCGTCATCGGGCATTCTGAATGAGCAAACCAATTGATTTCTTCTTCTCGTATGAGATTTACAATTAGTTCTATGTCAACCTTTTTCCCTAAAGACTTTTTTTTTCCGATATATCTCTTCTGGCCAAGTCTGAAGCACTCCTTAGACATTTCATTTCCATGGTGACTTTTATTTTCTAAAAAAGATATAAACCCAAACAAAACGCATGCTAGCAAACTTCACAATAAAACAAATACAAACGAAACGTGAACGTTGCGGCTATAGAGCCTTCATCAGCACATACAAATCAGATACACAAAATCACTTAGCTGGTATTTCAAAGCAGCCGGGTCGGTGGTTTCTAGTTTGTTCTGAATTACCACGTCTGGTGCCTCACGAATTCAATGGGATGAATACGCTCTGTATCCGATGTTTTTAGTGCTGAATGAGATTGCCTTCTGATGTAAAACAAGAAGCTATCTGCCCCAGCACGAAGTTTGCTTGACTGCATCAAATGTGAGGGAATGTTGTTCAAAGACATGAGCAATGAGAATAAATCATGCAAACACAAACAGATGTGAACGGAATGTTGTTCAATGACATGAGCAATGAGAATAAATCATGCAAACGCAACCAGCTCTATTTCTCTGACACCCGACAGTGACATCGACAAAGACTTTAAGGAAAGTGTTTTGAGCTTTAGCTATTTTTTAACCCCCCCCCCCCCCCCCCTTTCCATCTCTACACTTCAAGAGGAGAATGGTCGTAAACACTGCACAGTTAATACACACAACAACTCGAGAAAGCGCACACACATGTCGTTTTCACAGGTTTTACTTGTGTTGGCTAAAAACGACGACTGCGTGTTTCTGATGTGCTTTAGCCACATCAAAACATTGATTTTACTCATTTTGGTTGTAGAGTGAACGATACGAATTTTATTGTAAAACCACACAACTCAGAGACCTAACAGAATTTGTTGGCTTACATATTTTTATTATTTACATCTTTATATAAACGTGAGGGCTCATTTGCTCTTCTAGAAGCCGAAGGGGACAAAATATGGTGATTAGTAAAAAGTGCAAAGAAGTCAACTTCTTATTTGATCGAATGATTGTTTTTTTATTTTAGCGGGCTCCAATCCAGTATGTTCACATCTTTCAGTTATCTACTTCTGTTGATCTGCTGTCTCTCAATAAATGTTTGTTTCTGATGATTCGCAACCACACCTAGTCTCGTTTTCCCAAGCATGTCACACGCACCTTATTGTGAAAGACTTCTTAAAGCCCAGCTTAGTCTTGCTTTGCTAGTCCCAGTTGCAGTCACAGGATGTAATTCCTACGCTTTTATGCCTATAATTCCCAAGCCTCAGTGTCTGTAGTTGCTATGCCTCCATCCTTGTAATTCACATGCCCCCCTTTATGCCTGTAATTCTCCTGCCCCAATGCTCGAAATGCCCATACCTCCATACCTGCAATTCTTCGGCCCACATGTCTGTAATTCTCTGGCCCCAGTGTTTGTATTTCTCCTGCCCCCATGCCAGTAATTTCAATGCCTCTATGCCAGTAATTTTCATGCCTCTTTGTCTGTAATTCCAATGCCTTCTTATGATGCACTGCAGCACTATCGTGTAGAAAGACACACCGTGTATATTTCGGGACCCCAAAGCGGATGGTGGTTAGGGAGGGAGAGGTGGGGTGGGGTGGGAGAGGATCAGACTCACTGTCATAAGTATGTTGTGAAAGGGGACTAAGTAAAGTTAATACAAGAACAATTTGCCCCACCTTCAGGCGTATTGAACATTTCAGTATGCTAGCGGAAAGAGAGAAAAGAAAAACCAAGTAGGTAGATAAGGAAAAAGAAATACTGACTAAGAAAAAATGTTAACAGCAAAAACAGGAAACGTACAGAAAAGACAAGGGTTCTTCTATGCAGGGGACACGAAATATTTCAGTATAGCCCTGGCGATAAATATGTGAATTACACAACTACAGCAAAATAAGACTACACACATATAGACGAACCACGTTAACGGACTGCAAATCCTTACCTAATCAAGCAAATGAATTATAATCATCACATTGAACATCTGTTTATTTGCTTGAATACAAAACTACGCGCTTTACAGATAGCATCACATTAACAATTAACATCGTGTTCACACAGGCCACGTGCTAAGTACTTAAACTTACAAAGGTGAAAATTCGTTCCCAGCGACCTCGAATCAAATATCTCCGAGAGATGATAGTCACTGATATATAGCTTTACACAGTTTAACTACTGGAGACAATTCAGATTTAACTATGATGGAAATGTATATATAGACATACTACCGCTATGAAGTCAGTCAGTCTACCGTCACTCGATCACCCGAAACCCACGCTGTTATGCCCATTTGCATGCAGTCGCCGCTGGGTGGGAGTCCTGACCCCGGGCGACCAGCGAAACCAGAAGCAGAAAGCCGAATCCATCGATTTCCGAGTGCGTATGGCCTTTTATCAACTTCTCGTCTTCTGGCTTGCCATGTTTTTTCGCAAGTGCAGTTAAATTCGTAATCGCCAGGCTACATAAGGCAAGACCTATATTTTACAAGATCAACAGGCACTCAGTGGATGAGTGGTCAACACCACAAAGCCCGCTTTTACTTCCTAGGACTTTTGCTAGTACCCATTTAAGGCCAGGTGGACCTGAGAGCCAAAGTCCTTTTCGAAGAAAGTTCGGCTCCGCTCTGAACCCACGGTAACTAATTGAGGATTTTCCAAAATCGGATGGAAGGCACAGATGTCGTAGCCCAGCCGTAAACCACAACACAAGGTCCCCCCATAGGCCACCGCACATAAAGAATAGGCATACGAAGTAGTTTAGAAAACAAAAGCTTCAGCACCCCAACCTCCTTTCCCCCTATAAAAGTCTCAGGGGCCCTAAACATCACGTACAATTTGTAAAGGTAGCAGGCGGCCCCATAATCATCTATAAAAGATTTGATGGTACTTTATTATTTGCCGACCACAATCAGGGGGAATCCACAGGTCACCAGACAGTCAAA